GAAGGAAGGAAGGAAGGAAGGAAGGAAGGAAGGAAGGAAGGAAGGAAAGAAGGAAGGAAAGGAAGGAAGGAAGGAAGGGAGGGAGGAAGGGAAGAAGGAAGGAAGGAAGGAAGGCTTTTCATTTGATTATTGTCTGCAGCTGTTCCAAAACAAATAGGGCATCAACCACTCGCAAATGTTATGTTGTCACTTTCCATCAAGTCCAATAACGAAAGAAACTCCCTTTCACGCCGCCTTTCTCATTCTCTCCCCCATCCCTTACCTGCAGGGCTAGGCATGATGGGTGTTCCAGGAGGACCTCCGCCACCAGGGGGCCCCTGTTGACAAGATTAAATACACATCAGGCACCACTGTGATAACATAGCCTGCGATAGGTCAGCCAGATCTTGCTGCTGTCAGCAACAATGCTTCACCTTGGTATTCAGCCAAGCATTAATCTCCTGCTAAAACCTTCGATGCACCCTTGTAGCCAAAGTGCAATTTCTTTGTTTAAGCCTCAGGAAAAATGAAGGTTTTACGGGGAGATAGTAAGGTGCTTCTATGCAAGATGCACACACTGGTTCTGTCTGTCAGGGAAGGAACCGAAGAAGGAGGACCAACCTTTCTGTAATCTTCACTCATGCAGAAGTTGCAACAATAAGTGGGTAGGTTAGAGCATTGTAACCTGCTATGTCAATGTTTTAACTTGATGGTCTGATTCCCATCCAATTAAGAATACAGCTACTAAAAATTCTGATGGAAATTGCTCTGAGATAAATTAAATCTGGAGCATCACAAGCACTACATCATTCACAATGCTGGGGGTTAGAAAAGTGTTTCTTTCCATACTTTAGGGCAGTATTTCTCAGCCTTGGTGATTTGAAGACACATGGACTTCAACTCCCAGAATTCCCTGGTCAGTGTGGCTGGCTGAGGTATTATGGAAGTTGAAGTCCGTGTGCCTGAAAAGCCACCAAGGCTAAGAGATTCTGCTTTAGGAGGATGTTGACTGAAGAAATGACTTCTTATGCTAATCAACATCCTCTCTTTCGGCATGCTTTATGCACTATGCTTCCTGGAACAAGAAATGTGTTCCCCAACGAGATCTATGATTTGCATGTTATACAGATGTGGACGCTGCCCTTCGGCAGGATAAAACTATGCAACAGCATGAACACTTATAGCCATAATCTAGGCTGCATACTTGTGAATTCAAGTATCCTTAGAGCTAGTCAACAAATGTATTGCCACTCATGACATTCGTCTAGGTTACTTGTGAAGCTTCATCCTCCCTCTTGTGGCTTTTCCCACCAGGTCTGAGAGAATGGACATGCTCTGGGACCCTCAATAAAATGGTGTCACCTGGCAGGCCTAGGAACTCTGGCTCCTCTGTTATGGTGCTTGCCTTATGGAACAGCATCTCCACAGGGATAAGAAAGGTTCTGGCCCTGTTGGCTTTCCAAAGTCCTGGCTCTGGGATGTTAATGGAGCTCATTTTTTTTCAATACGGTCTTGACTTGGGCTTTTAATTTATCTGGATTTGTAGGGGATGACCAGGCTGAGCCTGAGGGTGGGGTCAAATGTACCATCTGTTTGGAATCTCTATACTCCCATAAGAGACCTTAATCCAGCCTCCTTTGAAGTCCATTGACTCTTATCTGGTGCCAATTCGCCTTGACCATTAGTAGATCAGATTCCTGTGCATAGGTAGCATGAAATAAACTTATAGTACTTTTGAAGTCTATCCTGGTTCCTGACTTCTTCTTGCATTGGATTGTGGATAATGGGTTTTTATCCCCTTGTGTTCACTGCCCACTGATTAGATGGTGGCCAAACAGATTTGTTTAACCCATGAATTTTTTTAAAAAAAGAGCTTACCACATATGTACCAGGTGATGAAGAAGAATATGGAATCTGTGAACAAACCAAAGCACATGCATTACTTTTCCGAGAGGGAGCTTTTGACAAAGGAGGGTTCAGAACTCTAATAAAAATATGTACTGCTTTCAAATATGCTTAGAGGAGAGGACAGCTGCACAAAAGGAAATGGAGGATATCCCATGTCTCCTGCTCCGGATGACACCCCACTGGGAAGACGGAGCAAGGGATGCAACATAGATTGAAAGGCAGATGCAGGAAGAAGTAAGCTAAATTCCAAGGTCCAAGTGATAAAGGCATTCCGCAGGGAAAAACACTTACTGAGTTAGCGCTGTTGGGATTGGGCCATGGTCTACCAGCTCCTGGACCCCTGGAGTTCAAGAAAAGAAACACGCTTTTAGTGCACACCTGCACATGTTTACTCAAGCCTAAGCAGAGAGTAAAAATGCGCTCATTTCCACATCCAATGAAAGGTACATCAGTCAAAAGCCAGGAGCATGAGAAACGCCTTACATGTTAATTCCAGGCATGCCGGGCCCTAGAGAGTTGGGTGGAGGTCTCATTCCGCCGCCATAGTTCTGCAATGATAACCAAGGATCAGTCTACCATAACGAGAAGGGAAACCGGAGAAGAAAAGAGAAAGGAAAAAAAACAAACAAAAACGAGAGGGTTAGTTTGTGAAAATGAACTTTAATTAAAAAAAAAAGATGATGACAATGAACATACAGGTCAACTTAGCAACTTCTAAAAGTGAAACAGGGCTGTGGCAACTCTCATTTTGCTGTTTGACTGGAAAAAGTCTACTTTTTTTTTTAAAAAAAGCAAAAAACCTTAAAAGCCACCAAGTTTCCATCTCTTCGTTGAAAAGATAATACTAGAAACGCCCATTGGGCAAAAGCTTCTGGCACTGCCCAAGGTATATTATTAACAAGGGAGTAACCTCACCTGGAAAATAGGTAAGATCTAAGAAAGTAATTCAAACCAAAAACAAACAAACCAAATGCAGTTTGTTCCTTACACATGAATCCAAACAAGTAGAAGATGCAAAATAATTAAATTACTTGCTTGGGGTGGGGTGACGGTTGTGGAGAGACTGATGTGAGGAAGCAGAACATGAGAGAGAGGGGAGTGAGAGACAGACAAAGAGAGAGAGAGATTAATTCTGCTTTAGGAAATACAGAATAATGAGCAAGCAATGGGTTTGCCCAAGAGGAGATGTTGACAGCAGCAAAGTGTGTAGCAGGTTTGCGAAGAGCGTTCCTTCCTCTCAAAAGTCTGTCTTCAACAACAGTAACAAAGAGCAATGCCGATCAAGTAGCATCCACTGCATACACTTTATTTTATTTCTTAAAACATCACAATCACAAAAGACATAGAGGACTTTTCTGGGCAAAGAAATAATAACATTATGGGTCTGTTAATATGATTATTAAAAACCCTTAAAATTAGAGCACTTAAATGACTCTGTTTAAATTCCCTTCTACATATCCAAATGTCTGCTTAGCCCAATCTTCTAGATGTCAAACTTCAGAAAAAGCCAATGCAAGCTAGGCTCATTTGCTTTGAAAATGGATCTACAGAGGGAAAAGGAGCAAATCTGTCATGTTCCTGGTACCATGCAGGGCTACTGTTTAAGAAGCAGCAACAAATAGGGACTTACGGTTGTGGTATATAAAATATGAGTCAAGTCCACAACTTCTGCTCTTTGCCTGACTCCTTGGTATCTTACCCATGACAATGTTCTCTATGCAGACATTGTAAATGCTACTGAATGAGCCAGCTGGATTGCATGATTCCTGTACTGAAAGACCTGCACAGGTTGCTAGCTACCAAATGGGCTATTTCCCCCATCAAGTTGTCCTAACTAAATGAAGCTACAACCACAGCAATGCTTTATAATTAGGAGTTAAAACACAATCTATATTCCTGAGAGGCAAACAGACTACTTGGCTGAAGTATTAAATGAAAAAAATATCCCCATCTAACAGTCCATTACAGCCTCCACTTGATAGTACTTTCCCCCCTCAACATTTAATCTTTTATTGTCTGGAACAGAGATTTAACATTACTCACAAAGTGGAATAATGGCAACCAGGAGGAAAAGGATTTGCTCCGAGTTCCTCACTCACGGCCCATACACAAAAAAGCACATTACAGGTAGAAAGTTTGTCTCTAACATTCACACAAGGCTTCGTAAAGATATGGTGCAATCACACTTGCCGCTTACAATGGCTAAATGACAGGCCTACAACTCCAAAAGTATGAAAGAATGCTACAGCTAATGTGCCGTTTCATCTTGATGAGAAGCACCTGGTTTGCTTGAGATATGCCGTGAATCCAGAACCTTTCACGAGACTGTCTTTGTCTGGCTGGTGCAATTATAAGAAATGCAAACTTTTATGATGGCATATGAGGAACTATTGAGAGCTTTCAGGTCACCAAGAGTTCCAGACCATTAAACCAGACAAAAGAACACCTGGAATCTAGACTTGCTTGGAAATGCAATCCCCTTTTTCTCTTTCCTGGTAGGTCCTCATTCTTTACTGAGTATCAGTACTGTTCATACACTTTTCTTCATGTGTTATACTTCCCAAAATAGATAAACATGCTGCTTTCATAGCCAGAATTGGTGCAGAAGATTTAAATAGGACGCATATTCTAATTATTTCAACCCAATCACTGCATAAACAAGATTTCAGTGCAAATGTGTTCCAAAACTCATCAAAAGTTATCTGCCTCCCTCTCCAAATCTAAATACACTTCTGTCTTTGCCTATGCCTGTCTAGTTATCTAGTCTTACACCCTAACAATAATTGGCCTGAGTAAGTGCTCCCTTATACTTGCATATTTTGTTTATTCTAGTAGAAATAAGGGCCAGAGTGCAGTTCTGATTGAATCAAGAATGGTAAGGAAAGTTTGCAATGCTCAGTACTTCTGCTGTTGCAGCAAATATGAGGAATAGCACAGGATATTAGTTGATGCGTGCAATTTGCAGCAAGAAACCAAAATGTATTCTTGCACATTTTCCTCCTAAGATGCTATCCAATACTTTACAAGATTACGATATCAAATTTGCTGGAATAGATTAAGAAAAATGATTTTCCAAAGGCTATTAGCCCGCTTTCCTTAGGAAACGGATACTCTTTCATATGCTCATTTTCTGGGTCGCATTCTGCATTGGATGCTTATAGATGGTGTCTGCTTAGAAGAACACAAACATACTCTTCTTTTCTGTTTCCAAGCTGTTCTCATTGTGATAATTGTTCCAATTGGGCTTAGCGCTAGTTTTCCACAACCAGTTGGAAAGATTCAAGTGAGGCAGCAAACCAAGAAGTGAGCAAGCAAACTATTATGAGAGGCAAGGAAAAGGTGTTAACAAAGCTGAAGGACATTGTTGTCCCCAAGTCCATATGTGATTTTAGATACCGACTGAATCACATACAGGGATAAACTTTGGAGGTACAGTAAGATACAGGTTGGGGAGTTTTGAAAACATGTTTTATATAAGAAAGGTGAGAATCATCATCGTCATCATCATAATCAGAAATCACTTCCACTACCATATCACCATCCCAGGTCCTTGGGAAGGGCTCACCAGGTGGACAACAATGTCAAATCTAAACATCTAGCTGACTGTATAAACAACTATAATAATGTTAAGCCATAACCTATGATTTATAAATCATAATGAGTAACACACTAAGCAAACATAGGGGCAGCCCAGAATATTTTAGTTGAGTGCAATATTGAACCTAGACACTATTCAAAACAGAGCCCAGAAGAAATTTCCATCTGAAGGCGACATATTTACAACGCTTCATGAAGAGTGAGCTCATCTTCCACTTTTAACTCCCCCTTCATTCCCCCTCCCCCTTATGCACAAAATACAAAATTATGTAATAGAAGCAACATGTATTTTGACTGCTGCCACTAATGAGTCCTCCATCTAGATCAGGGGTCTCCAACCTTGGCAACTTTAAGCCTGGTGGACTTCAACTCCCAAAATTTCCCAGCCATTCCCCAGCAGGGCTGGGGAATTCTGGGTGTTGAAGTCCTCCAGGCTTAAAGTTGCCAAGGTTGGAGACCCCTGATCTAGAAGGCTCCTTAAGCGTCCCCCTGCAATGGTGCTGATGGGCAACATATGTAAACATGTTTGGAACTTGGACTTTTTGTCTCCAACCTATAGAGTGAAGATGATTTTAGCTTGCCTCTGCCCCTGGCTGCAAATGCAGGATAATATAAATATGGCTGTGAAATTCTTGTCATCCCTTAACTGAATGCTACTGCATGACTTCACCTTGACTGGTTTTCTCAAACAGTTAGGCGCATACTGCAGTGAGGAATGGTGGTCTGTAACTTCAACCAAAGGAAAACCTGCCTGAAAATGTAACTTGACAAGGAAAGGCCGGTGTTTCAGCTTGGCAGAGGAAGAAGCTAAGAGAAGCTAAGATGGCAGGACAGAGAAGCAGCAAGCTTATGAAAGAAGAGGTTTGCATCACTCTCACAAGACAACAATAAATTAACAGGCTACTCAGTTACTTGGAATAGCCAAGCAAAAAGTGGACTCAATGAGAAAAGAGAACTTTCACTTCTCTTCCCCCAAATAACTGTAACCTCTGGAATCTGGATCTGGAAACTGGATTCATCCTTAAGACAATCCTGGGGGCAAAAATAAATATACTGCAAAATTTTTATATGTGAGCAAGAGCTCTGTGGGCAGTTTAGAAACCTATCTAGATTCTTCAGGTTTAAACAAAATCAGAACTCTAGAAAGCAAAAATGAAGTTGGTTTGGTTACCACGAGTATTATTTCTACCCACCTACTCTCCCTTTATCTTCCTTCATTTCCTGTCTAGAATGTTGCAAAGGTGAAGTACAGTATGTGATTTATTTATTTTTTAGAAAAAAAAAGGCAGCAGTTGCGGGGAGGGAGGAAGCTTGCTAAGTGTGGTCTATGTGTCTGCTCCAGCTATAAAGAACGAGGTAAATCAAAACAGACGAGACTGCAGCAAATTTAATTATTAACATGGATTCAACTGAAATACATACAGCATTCTATCTGCAGCCTCCTCTCTTCCCACTTTGCGTTAAGATTATCATTTCCCGAGTAGGAAATCCCAATGAAATTGAGGTTTGCCTACACTAAAAGGCAAAAACGGAAGGTGGGCAATAGGTGATTACGTGAAATACGTGATGGGGAATGTTCAGGGTTCTTTTTTTTTTTTTTTTTGAAGCCCTAACTAAATGTGGGAAGGTGGGATTTTTCCAGACATATGTAAACACACTAATGTAAAATGCATTACCGCTAATGGTAGAGAGAAAAGGTCTTAGAAGGAATGGAAGAATCCCCAGAGGCTGTTTTTATGATGTTTTGTTTACAAACTTCACAAAGTAGCATGCCTAACGCTTGGCACTGGACAGGAGAGCAAGTGGTCTCTGCCCAGGTTTTTACCTGTGGACCAGGGCCCATTGGTCCCATTCCTCGAGGAGGATTCATCCTTTGCATCGGCCCACCCATGTTGGGATGCCCTAGTGAGAGAAACAGACAGGAAGATGTTACAGAGTGTTACAGAGAAGTAAACAAGGAGCAGAAGGAAAGACCCAGTGAAGGAATTTCTGAAGGCAGCCTCAACATCTGTTACCTTGTTGCCGTGTAGGGTCCATGGAGTTGGGCAGCAATGGCTGTGTACCAGGAACACCTCCTGGAGGCTACAAACGAGAGAAACAAAGCTGATAGAATCTAAATTATAGATACGTAAAACAGTTAACATCCTGTTTTTCCTATATTAACTAGAACTACAGATAGAAGAAGAAGAAGAAGAAGAAGTGGAAGAAGAAGAAGAAGAAGAAGAAGAAGAAGAAGAAGAAGAAGAAGAAGAAGAAGAAGAAGAAGAAGAAGAAAGAGAGAGAGAGAGAGAGAGAGAGAGAAAGAAAGAAAGAAAGAAAGAAAGAAAGAAAGAAAGAAAGAAAGA